GAGGTAAACCTAGTCTGTGTTATTCCATTTTCCTTGGTGTTACTGCATTTCCATACAGGTAGCTTAATGTTTAAATGATAGTTAATGATGAAAGCTTTATTTATCTTGTACCCAGAGTCTATTTTTATGTGTTTACTTTCTGCTGTAAACTAGAAAGTTTAGGCCATGTGAATGACCAGGGTCTGGTCAGACACCCCAGTCTATGTTGGTATTCAAGGTCTACACTGCTGCCAGGGCAATGTTAATCTGGGTGGCCTGTGCCACCACCTGGGGCCATGATGACATCTGATGGGGCCATGTCTGAATCCATAACCCTACTGCAGGCAGGGTCTGGGTTGATATCTGTGACTCCCGATACCGCTGAAGGCTGTGAAAATATCTGGGGCCTGGCCATCATCTGAGGCCAGTTGGGGATGTGAGGATCATGCTGTAGCCAGGGTCATACAGATCTGAGTGATCTATGCTGCCACAAGGTGCCATGGTGACATCTGAACTCAGGTTGTAGCTGGAGGACATGTCTGGGTCTGTGACCCTGTAGCAACAAGGGTCTGTGTCAATGTCTGTGGTTTCTGATGCCATCAGAGGACTTGTTGATGTCAGGGGTCTTGGCTGTCATCCAGCGCCATGTTAATGTCTGAGGGCCATACTGCCACAGGAGGCATGCCGATCTGAGTGGAGTATGCTGCTATCTGGGCCCATGGTGACATCAAAGCCCAGGCTGCTGCTGAGGACCATGTCCAGGTCCATAGTACTACCACTCTGAGATCTGTGTTGTTGTCCATGGCCTGTGGTGCCTTCAAAGACCACATGGGTGCCCAGACCTTGGCTGCATCCTGTGGTCATGTTGCCCAGGTTTCATGCTGATCTGAATGGCCCGAGTTGCTACCTGGGGCCAGGGTGTTGTCCAGGCCAGGGCTGCTGCCAAGGGTCATATCTGAGTCCATGGCTTCTTATACCAATGGAGGTCATGCAAATGCAAGTAGTCTGGGCTGCCACCTGTGACCATGTTGATATCCAAGGGCCATACTGTAACCAGGGCCATATTGATCTGGGTATCCTGTGCTGCCACTGGGGCCATGGTGACACCAGGCCCAAACTGTTACTGAGGACCATGCCCTGGGTCCATGGTCCTGCTGCAGCTAGGGTCTGTGATGATGTCCATTGTCCATGTTGTCACAGGGGATCATAGAAACCATGTATATTGAAATCCAAGGTCTGTGTTGAGCTGGATCTGTCCCTATCTGACCCTGAGATAGCTGGCCCTGCCCCTCATTGGTCACTATAGCAGGAGAGCTGGCCCTGCTTCCCATGGGAGAGCTGCCCCACAGTGATGGCAAGGGAGAGCTAGTCCTGTGGGCCTAGGAGAGCTAATTCTGATGGGGTTAGTCCCAGTGGCTCGGACTGACCAGCTCAGCTATCACCCAAACCCACATCCTGGGCCTTGGGCTGGCCCACCCTAAAATCTACCCCATCCCTGCTGGAGTGTGTGAAGGAACTGGTTCTATCAAAGGATAACCACAGGATCTTTATGAGTAGGGGCAACAGCAGGATATCCAAGAGTAGTTTTGGTGAGGGTCCAGTGATAATGGTGTGAACCAGACATCTTGTACCAGACCAATTACTCATTGTAATGAGCATTTATGAGTGGAGCTGATTGAAAAAATGGGCATGCTGTGTGATGCTCTCAGCTACCAATGTCATTAGGATGAATGAAGAGATGTGGGAAGATGGAGGATTGAGGTGTTTTTGTTTGTTTTGTTTAGAATTGCTATTTGGGGGGATTTCTTTTGGAGGGACGCTGCAGTAGTGAGGGAAAGAAATAGAGGGACTGGGAAGTGAGTGGAGTTCGGGTGCAAGATGTGAAATCCACAAAGAATTAATAAAGAATTTTGTTAGAAAAATATATATAATGAGTGATTGTATTTGCTTCCATTAGATTTTTAGAAATATGCAAGCATCTAAACTGTATACTGATAATTTTGAGTACCACTAAAATAGTTATTTTTTTCATAAATTTCATTAGGTTTTACTGGATACCTATGATAGGCTAAGACTCAATGACTCAATTCATTTATACATATATAAAGAGTCCTTTTTGCCATTAAAACACTTTCGGCCAAATATGGCTTCTCATGCCTGTAATCCTTGAACTCAGGAGGCTGAGATAGAAGAATCATTGTTAGTTCCTGTCAAGTCTGGTCGACATAGTGATTTCTAGGATAAGCTGCGCTGCAGAGTGAGAGCCTGTCTTAAAAGCCAAATTCACAATATTTTCAAACTATACCAAACTTAAACCTTCAAATATGAGTATCTTTATAATTAAATAATTCTTTCGGCTGTATTATAGAAATACATCTCAGAAATGAAGGAGTGATTCAGTTAAAATATATGATATGATAACATAACAATAATGGAGATTTTATATGTTACTGGAGCACAGTCAAGTCTCTTTTGAACATTCTTTTTCTCTGTGAATACCCCTAATCTTACTGCATGTACCTTGCCAGAATTTTATTGCCTAACTTTTTTGTAAAGAATGTAGAAAAAGAACCTCATTATATTAGGTACAGAAATGACAACTAGGAAAATGCATCCAAACAGACGCTTTTTATTAACTGCTGTCTTCATTAATTTGCCTTATATTTCAAGTGCCTGTGAGAGGCTAGGACACTTTGGAATTAAGCATACAGTTTATACTGGCATTTGTTACCTTTCATGATGGATTTTTTTTACTTTTTTATTTATTTAACTTAGAAACAAAGTCGCTTCACATGTCAATCCCAGCTCCCTCTCCCTCCTCTCCTCCCCCGCCCCTCCCAACCCCCCTAACCCCCCACTCAGCCCCTACTCCACTTTCCAGGGAGGTTTAGGCCCTTCATGGGTGATTTCCAAAATCTGTCATATCATCCGGGATAGGGCCTAGGCCCTCCCCAATGTGTCCAGGCTGAGAGAGCATCCCTCATTGTGGAATGGGCTCCCTAAGTCCATTTGGATGCCAGGGATAAATACTGATCTACTACCAAGGCCCCATAGATTGCCGAGGCCTCCTCACTGACACCCACATTCAGGGGGTCTAGATCAGTCCCATGATGGATATTTTTATCTGTTAACTTCCCCTCAATTGCCGGGCATTGGTGGCACACACCTTTAATCCCAGCACTTGGGAGGCAGAGGCAGGCGGATCTCTGTGAGTTCAAGGCCAGGCTAGACTGAAAGCCTCCAAAACAGAGAAACCCTGTCTCGTAAAAAACCAAAAAAAAAAAAACTTCCCAAACTTCCCCTCAATTACCCAAGGCAGAGGGTGACAACCATTGTGTACTATGACCTGGTAACAGTCTTTGATGAGCTTCACCATTTTACAACTACTCAACATTGCCACTGTAATAGAAAAACAGCCATAAACATTGTGTAAATGAATTAGCATTTGGTGCTCCAATAAAATTTTATAAGCACCAAATTAAATTTTCATATTTTTTGTGTTACAAAGTATTTTTTCAACCATCCTTACAGTTTCCCAAATAAACAGTGTGCCAGATTTTGTCATGAATTATTTACTAGCCTGTTCCAGAATCCTACATTTTAAGTTTATTTTTGCAAAACACTGGCATGCCTGGTATGTGCAATACTGTGGGTTCACCACTCAGCACCACAAAATAAAATCAATTTTCATAAATAAAATGTACTTTTTTCATGTAATTAAAACTCTGATACACTGGCATGATCTTCTTATATTCAACTCAGCATAGAACAAAATTCTGTACATTCCTAAGTTTCGGGTTAATGTGAGCTATTGTGATCAACTGTCTCAGATTCAGTGAGCTGTTGCCTCATACATCTTTTGTAATCTGCTCAACTAAGAGATAATTGCCCCCAGACAAATGATCTTTATCAAAAAGATAAACAGAAAGGAATCTAGCTATGCATGTAGAGCAGGATCCACTACTGTGGGCATTCCAGAGAAATCAGTGCGAATCTCTCACTTTGGGGGATTTATATCTGTAGAGATCTGGTGTAGAACTGTAGTCTAGTACATAGACTCTAAGGGAACATATGGTAATAGGGCACAGTAAAGAAGTATGTGCCCATCCTTTGTCTCACAGGGCCTTTGAGTAGAGACCCCGTCTTACAAACACCCCCTAATAACTGAAAACACTTCAGGGTTTTAGTTATGCACATGCCAAGAGAATAAAAAATCTAAAAAAGCTTGAAAACTTTTCACCTCATCTAGTTTATACAACAGCCCTGAGGTGATTATTTGCACTTTACTGATAAACAGAAGGATAGATACTAAACACTTATTAATTTCCCAGTAACAGATGCCAGATGGTAAACTAAATCTGAAGTTATATCACAAGTCTAGAAAATTCTCACATTTTATAAGATTATTAAAAGCCTATTATTTTTAATTTGTTTTTCCATTTTTAATCTTTTGATTTCGTTTTAATTCTAACCACAGTTCTCTCTCCCACCCCAATTTTTGAATTTTAAAGATTTATTTTATGTGTGAGTGTTGTGGCTGTATGTATGTCTGCACCACATGTGTCCCTGGTGCCCAGAAGTCATCAGATTCCCTGGGAGTGGAGTTACATATAGTTGTGAGCTACCTTGTGAGTGCTGGGAATTAGAGCTGGGCCCTCTGGAAGAATAGCCAGTGCTCTTAAGAGCTAAGCAATCCCTCAAGCCACCAAATTCTTCATTAAATAATATGTGCTCCATTTTGAAAAATTAAGAAATATAACGAAAATTATTTTCAGTTCTTCCAGTGATCAACATTACTTACTCCATTTATGTGACTATTTGTACTCTTATATAAAGAAAAAAATAAGTAAAAATGCAGAGAATGCCGAGCCGGGCGATGGTGGCGCACGCCTTTAATCCCAGCACTCGGGAGGCAGAGGCAGGCGGATCTCTGTGAATTTGAGGCCAGGCTGGACCGACAGCCTCCAAAACAATACAGAGAAACCCTGTCTCGTAAAACCAAAAAAAAAAAGTGCAGAGAATGCCTTTTCAATCTGCTTTATTCGCCTCACAATATATGAGCATCTTTCCATGCAACTGATAAATTCTGCTAACAAGAATTACAGAGAGTCAAAACACAAATTCTAATTAGAATCTGGCAACCGGAAGAGATCCACATGAAAGAAGTAACCTCGAAAATTTTACAACAGTACATCACAAACATGTAAGTTTTGTAAGCAGGGGTCCCCATATTATCCTCAGTAGAACTTCAGTGTTCAGGGCATAAGGCAAAACTCATCATGATGGTCATGGTGAGGGGGGTCAGTGCTAACTGCCCGCAGAGTATGGCTCAGCTGCCTTTCCCTCAACTTCTCCATGAGCTGTCTCACATCCTCCCCAATCCTCTCCATGTTCTCATCTCTCATCCTTGCCTGGGGCTCTCCAACCCTATGCATCAGGTCCCATCTATAGTGCACGATGGGCTGCCTAACACGGAAGCGCCTGCGACTTCCTCTAGGCACGCAGTAATCGCCAGCTTCCAAAGGCAGGGCCACAGGAGGCTCCCTTTTGTCAGCGTCTTGCAGCTTTTCTTCCTTTTCCTCCTTTTCCTGATGGTCATTTTCCATGTTGAGATTTTTTACTCCTTGATCTTTGGATTCCATTGTTCCTAAGAAGCAAGAAAAGGAAAACATCTTGGTGGACTGACCAGCAAGGAAGACGGAGTGCCTACTATGCACCTTTTAAAATTCATTACTTCCCGATCCAAGAGGCCCACATGCTCACTAGAGGCCCCAATTCCAGTCCATCTCACCCCCAAAGCCCACCGTTTTTTCTGCAGATCCATCTCCAAGGCGTCTACGTCATTAAAATGGAAGAAAAGGATGGGAGAGAAGGATGGCATAGAAGGGGGCAAGCTGGGCTCTGGGATGTCCGACCCAGTTTTGCACAAGTCCCAGTTCCCCTTCTCGAGCCTCCAGCCCTGTCCCAGTACCCACCTGGGCCTCTCCTCGCCTTCTCCTCCTCCAGGACACGCTCGCTCAGCACCAGGTGCGCTGCGAAGCTGGCCTCCTAGGACCTGCGAACAAACCAGGCAGGAGGGTGGTGGGTGGCTGGGATGATTAGAGAGAGGGAGGGAGGGAAGGAGAGGGAGGACCCGCGGCCGCGCTGCCCTGGGTGCCCCCGCCCAGGCTCTTCCCGCCGCCACAGCCGCCCCCGCCCCAGCGACCACCCCTGGGCACCCGGGATGCAGGAGAGCGGGGGTGGAGTGGGGTGGGGTGGGGCTGGGGGGCTGTGGGAAGCTGTCGCCGGGCTCATGCTCCTTCTCCCTGAGGGTCTCCCCCGGGCCCGCCCCCGGCCGCGCCGCCGTGCACACGGGGACAGGGACGGCCACCTGCTGCCTCGGCCTGCGCTGCGACAGCCGGGCTGGGGGCCGCCGCACCCGACGACCACGACGACGCCGCCGATGGGCTCCGCAGCCCGGGCGCTGCCTCCCTCACCTGCTCCGCCCTGCTTTCCGCGCTGCCCGGGCCCGCGCTCTGCGCCACCAGGAGCTGCGCCACCAGGAACAGGTGCCTCGGCCAGGGATGGCGGGCAGGAGGGAGTGAGCCAGGGCAGGTCGGTCCCCAGACCCAGAGAGGGGTGTGAGCCTGCGTGGGCTAGTCACGTGAGACCCGCATCGCAAGCCAAAGCTCCGCCCCCGGCCCCTCCCCCGCCCTGAGTGTCTTTTCAGGGAAAGCCCAGGTCCCCTCCTCATCCCAGGTCCCTATGACATCTCCAGCCCGGGCCCTGTCACTCTGAGGTGCAGGCGTTTCTTGTCTGACAGGGAAGAGCAGTGTGCTTGCAAGGGGCTGTTATCCATCCCCAGATCTCTGGGGGATTGATTTTCCCTCTCTTCTGTTTTCAGGGTGCCCCTCCTTCCTCCTGCTGTCCCCTCATCTCCCAACGTTGTCCATTTTTCCTTCACTATGAACTCTATGAAGAAGTTAGCCAAGAAAGAAGCTTATGTAGATTTTTTCCTTTCCTTTCCTTTCCTTTCCTTTCCTTTCCTTTTATTTTATTTTCCGACAGTTTCTCCGTAGCCCCTGGCTGTCCTGGGACTCAATTCTGTATACCAAGCTGTCTTTGAACTCAGAGATCTGTCTGCCTCTGCCTCCCGAGTGCTGGGATTAAAGGTGTGCGCCACCACCGCCTGGTTAATTTTTAAAAAATTTTTAATGCGTTTCTGTACTGTTTTTTGGTGATAAATGAAAAGCATATGTCTTTTATATGTAATGATAATATTGGGGAAGAGGAGGCCATCAATTTGAGAGTGGAGGAAGCATGAAAGGAATTGGAGAGAAGGGACTTGGGAAGGGAAATTGGTGCGATTATATTTAAGTTAAAAATCTTTAAAAGGCGGGAAACAATATCTCTTGCCTTTAAAAACCAAGTAGTGGGAGAACTGAGGCAGGAGGATCTCTATTTTAATACTGGCTTAGGCTGAGGAGATCCTGTCTCGTTTCAGAAAGAAAAAAAAGAAACCATAGTCTTGTTTGAAAAACAGGATTAAATTTGGGGAAAAAAAACAACCATCTGTCTCTTCTGCTAAGTCATTATATAAATATAGACTCTACAGGCAACAGCTGCTGTTTTTGGACCTTGGTAAAGGACAGGGCAGCTGATGGCTCCCCCTGTGAGGGGCCCCTAGACATGCGAGGCATTTTCATGATGTGAGCCAGAAAATACTGTGCTACAAAATCTTGTGAGATTTTCAGAATGAAAAGAAATGAACAAATCTCTTTCCAAAATTTCTGCTTCAAATGGTTCATATGTGCTTGCAAGTCAATGGGTATATATTTAAATAGTCTTAAGTTATATACAGTAAATCTATTTCAGGATGAGTTTTGGTAGCTTGAGAGGACAGCCGGAGGAAGGCATGCCGTCTGGGAGCAGAGGACAGGGGAAGGCAATCCCCCAGAGAATTGGGAATTCAGAGTAGGAGAGTTTCAGATACATGATTACCATACAGAATACACTTGGATTTTGTACGTTGGTGATAAGCAATTGAAAAGGAGAAATATCATTTGCATGCTTTAGGAACTTGAAATGTGACATGTTTCAAAGTAAGCCATATACTAAAACTGTAAAATAGTGATGAAAGGAAGCAAAGACCAAAACAAATGTAAACGTATATAATTTAGGTAATCTTTTTCTGAAATTCAACACTCCAAATTAATCTATATATTTAGTTTAGTAAAACTCCCAGTGCCAGCAGTCATTCTTTTATAATTTGCAAATTTATACCTAAAATTTATGGAGAAAAACCAAGGACTTAGAATAAACTAACTTTGAGGAGAACATCTGGAGAATTAATAACCATGATTTCAAGGTTTAAGTTGTCTTAGTAAAGGAGTGTAGTAGCATTGTACTATTAATAAAGGAGTACTCCAGTTATACATAACTGGAATAGAATTGAGTTCAGTAATAGACTTATGGGTATACTACCAATTCATTTCTTTACAAAGGTATCAGGATAACCCTTTGGGCAACATACATTCTTCAACAAATAGTTCTGAAAACAAATGCAAATTCTTCCAAGAACAAAAGAGATCTTCCCCCCTCCTTTTTGTTTATTCTTTGTGTCTTTCACATCATGCATCTCCATCCTATTCATTTCCTCATCTCCCCATCCCTTTGTATCCACTGTTTGCCCTTGCAACCTTTCCCCCACTATAAAACAAAATAAAATTTAAGAAAAAGGAAAAAGAGCCTCCAAAACCACAGATAAACCCTGTCTCGAAGCCCCCCCCAAAAAAAAGAAAAAGAAAAGAAAAAAGAGAAAGATAAAATCAATCTCATCATGGAAGCTGCAGTGTGACACAATGAGTCACACAGTAAACCCTTTTATCCATCTATCTTTACTTAAAAGTGTTCACTGCAAGGTCTTTGGTCTGGTTTGAGGTCTCTGGTTTATGCTAAGCTATCAATACTGGGCCCTTACTGGAATTCCTCTTGGTTATCCTGCTGTTGCCCTGTGTTATGAAAATCGTCTGCAGGACCCCTACCTTCATGTGCTCCAACAGATCACAGATGGGGTGAGCCAACTCATAGCCCTGGTTCTGGGCCTGGATAGATGCAGGGTTGATGAGCCCATCAGCTCTTCCTGTCCTCACCAGTAGGGAGAGCTCTTCATCATGGCCCAGGCTAGGTCCTTTCGATGAGCAAAGGAGCAGGGCCAGTTCTGCTGTTTTCATGTCCTCAGGGTCAGACCTCTCACACCTACACCTTCAGGGTCAACTGTACTGTGCTGTCCAGGTGTGGTGTAGGGACCACACTCCCGAGTGCTGCAGCTGGTGAGGGGCAGGGACCTTTTCTTTTACCTTTACTTGCACAAATTAGTTTAAAGCAGACTATAGGCCTCAATGTAAAAACTCAATCTATGAAATTTTCAAAATAAGACATAAAAGCACTAAAATCTTAGGAAACAAAGATTCCTTAGATGGGATATAAATAAATCATACATTAAAAGAACAAGTATAATTGGAGTTATGAAGTTTAAAACATTGCCTTTGTTGGTCTGTTTTTCAAGACGGAGTTTCTCTGTGTAGCCCTTGCTGTCCTAGAACTCCCCTTGTAGACCAAGCTGGCCTCTGCCTTCCAAGTGCCGAGAATAAAGGTGTGTACCACCACCGCCTGGCTAAAACATTGCCCTTTAAAAAACGTAGTTTAAAAACTGAAGTAGAGGAGTTAGGGAGATCACTCAGTTGGGAAAGCTTGTGAACCTGAGTCTGAACCCTTAGCACCCATGTAAAAAGTCAGCTGGGTAACATGTGCCTCTATAAACCCAGCCCTGGCGAGATGGAGACAGGAGGATCGCTTGGACTTGCTAGTCAGCTAGTCTAGCCAAATCAGCATGCTCCAGGTTCATTACATAGAATTTTATCTCAAAAACAAAGGTGAAGAGAAAGAGACTGAGGAAGACCCCTGACATCCACTTCTGACCTCCATACATATATTAGAGTATGTGCACCCCATCCTCATGTGCACACTTACATATAACACACACACACACACACACACTATGACATGTAGGGGGGGCTTGGAATAAAGCTCCATGCTAGCACTCACTGAGCATGCATGAGGCTTTCTTTCTTTCTTTCTTTCTTTCTTTCTTATTTTTTTTTTTTGGTTTTTTGAGACAGGGTTTCTCTGTATTGTTTTGGAAACTGTCCTGGAACTCGCTCTTGTAGACCTGGCAGGCTTCGAACTCACAGAGATCTGCTTGCCTCTGCCTCGCAAGTGCTGGGATTAAAGGCGTGTGCCACCAATGCCCGGCTGCATGAGGCTTTCTATGGGAGCACATGTAGTACTTGCTACTTGAGGAGTTGATAGCTTGAGCCCTTAAGTTTGAGGACAGCCTGGGAAACACAGCAAATCCTGACTCAGCAAACAATCACAGAAACAACCTGGTCTGAAACAAGTAGAAAATATTCATGATACAAATTCAAGTGTTTGTAGCCAGTAGATGTATAAAGAACTCCTGAGACTCAAATTAATAAGGCGAGAGTACATTGAAATAATATTAAAAACCAGTATGATCAAAATCCAAATGAACTGATTGGAATGGTAAAGGTAAGCTAACTGACAGTCCCTGCTACTTCTTGGATAGAGAAAAAGGACATTCATTCATTGCTGGTGAGAAGTTAAACCACTTTTCAGGAAGTTTTTGGGCTATTTCATGAAAAGTTAAACTTATATATACCATATTTTCCCAGAAAGTGAACTCTTAGGACTATTCCCAACAAAAATGCAAAAATTACTTTCTGGCAAATTTTGGCACAGTTATGTTGACAGCTACAAAGTCGATAAAATATAATTATCAATAAAGAAATGAATAAAACAAATTTTATGTATTCATTTATTTGAACACAACTAATCAAAGGGAAGGGCAAGTTATTGGTACAAGCAGTGACAGAGGAATCTCAAAAGATAGGCTTAGGGAAAACTGTCAGATACAGAGCAGTGCGTTCTAGGTGATTGCATTCCATGACTTCTAGAATAAGCAAAAATATCGTATACACTATAAACTGGAGCATTTTTTGTCTGACTTGAAAGTTGCTGTCTTTCTGACTGTAAAGGTGCACATTCAGCCAAGGAAAATATTCTGTATCTTGATACTCATCCATCTGTTGGTAAGTATGTTACAATATTGAATTATACAGTTTAACTATGAGTTTCTTGGGTTAAGGATGTAGGTTAAGGGTTAGAGGCTTGCCTGCCATGCCTGAGGCTCCAGGTTTCATCACCAGTACTATAAAAAAAACAAAATATGGCCATGCAGTGGCACATACCTTTAATTCCAGCACTTGGGAGGTTGAGTCAGGTGGATCTCTGCAGATTTGAAGCCAGCTTTGACTACAGAACAAGCTCCAGTACAGCCAGGATTGCACAGAGAAACCCTGTTTCCAAAACAAAAAAGCCCACAAAAATGTGTACATTTTGTTGTTTGTAAATTATAACCCAATAAAGTTCATTAATATAAAAAGCTAAAAATAAATCTGATTGAAATGCTTCTGGTCTGAAAATTATAAAATAATTTTGATATTCATTAAATGGAAACTAAAATTAGTGTAGACATAGTATTATGATTATTAATTGGAATACTCAG